TCCTCCACAACACTCAAGTCAATCCAAGCTTAGCAGGGAAAGCCAAATCACACCCAAAGATCTGCAATGGACCTCACGGGTAAGGAGTAGGAACCAAAGCCAGCAAAGCCTCCCTCCCCCATAATCATCTCTCGGGTAAAGGCTGAACAAAGCAACACAGCCCTCAATCAAAGCCAAACTAGGCCCCACAAAAGCCCAAAGCCAAAACCGAGCTCAACAAGGCTAAAACAAGCAAACACAGCCCCTACCTTAGAGCCAAGCTGAGCTCAATCAAAACCAGAGCCAAAGCCGAGCTTGACAAAACCAAAACCAGCCCTCAACCAGAGACAAAGCCAAAGCCAGCCCCCAACCAGAGCCAAACCGAGCTCAACGAAAAAACTCAAAAGCCAAAAGTCGGAGCTCAAGAAGATTAAAACCGGCCCAAGCATTTATATAAATTAAGTTTTAACAGAAATTAAAATTTCAATCACCTGAAGGTAAAACCAAGCCATCCAAAGCCAAAGAACCAACCTGCATATCTAAACATTCCAAGCGTGAAACAGTTCCAACAGATATTTAAACAAGGGTGATGCCTCATGAAGAGTTAAGCCAAGCTCTCAAATCAAGATACAAGGCTATCCATATTTAAAAAAAAAAATTATGGCCTCCATTTCAAGCTGGGGAAAACCGCAGGAAGCCCAAAACCGAGCCCTTTTTCCAAACATGTACAAAACAGTAGAATGCCACCTCCCCAAACTTCATTTTAAATAAGAGTAAGACATAACATGCCAAAGCCTCCCTAGTTTAACTAAGTCTAAACTTAACATATGCTCACATTTCATTTCAGACAAGTAAAGGAAAAATTAGCATGTTGTATCATCCAACAGAAACAGGCTCAAAGCCTCGGCCAAGAAGAAAACCGCAAGGAAACAGGGCACCAAAGAAAGGGGGAAGGGAGGGGTACCTCGAGAGTGCTAAGGCACAGCAGCACAAAAAGCTTCTCAAAGAAAAAAGCTTCCCCTCAAAATCTCCTTTCCTC